TGAGGGGCATAGGCCAGCTCATGCTCCACCAAGCACTATTGCCACCCCAGTGCTTCAAGATACCTTGGCTCGTATGTTAGGAATCCTCGAGGGGATGGCTCAGGCAGGAGCTTTGCCTGTCACTTCTGATGGCTCACAAACCCGTGTTGGAGGTCAGACTCCAGATCCAATAGTTGCTCCAGTTTCTCAGACTCCCAAGACTCAGCTAGTCGTTGTTGTAGCTCCTCGTTTGGACAGTATGGAGTTTTCAGATATTGCATCACATCTGGCGAACAGACTTTCTATGACCATTGATGAGCAAAAGTTTTTGGGAGGTTCAGACTAATGAATTCTCCTACTTATACTGGTGCTTTAACTGAGGATGCATATGAATTTATAGTTAGTTGTCATGAGAGGTTGCATAATCTTGGATTAGTGGAATCTCATGGAGTTGACTACATAGCGTTTCAGATAACTGGCTTTGCCAAGCAGTGGTGGAGGGATTATATTAGTAGTAGGCCATCTGGATCCCCTCCACTATTTTGGACTCAGTTTACTCAGGTATTTCTATCCAAATTTGTTCCACGCAGTGATAGGGAGCGCAAGAGGGCCGAGTTTGAGGGTTTGCAGCAAGGTGGTATGTCAGTTACAGAGTATGAGGGTATATTTCATGCCTTGGCTAGGAATGCTTCGATGGTACTTCCCACAGACGTTGATAGAGTGAGAAGGTTTGTTAAGGGGATGATTATTCCGATTCGTTTAGAAGTTTCTCAGGTTTCTGTTTCTGGTGTTCCATTTCAGAAAGTGGTAGATGTTGGTAATGAGTTGGAGATGATTCGGCGTGAGGGATTTGAGCAGTGTAAGGGTAGCAGGACTCGTTATTTAGGTGATTATGGTGGTACTACACCTAGGAGTCGAGGTTACTTGGGCAGAGGTTATCACCCTTAGTCCAGCAGACCCATTCATGCTGCTATACCAGCGTTTGAGGTTGGTATCTCTTCGAGCTCAGTGCATACTTCATAGGGTTCATCTTCTAGACCTGTAGTTCGTGGAGGGCATTATGGTCATTCAGGTTCCTCTCATTAGCCTGCATCTTGTAGGGGTTGTTTTGAGTGTGGTTATATGGGACACTATGTGAGAGACTGTCCTAGGACCAGGTGTTGTGTCTTACATGAGGGTTCTCAGGCTTCGAGTTTCAAGGTTGCAGAACCTCCAGCTAGGGGTGGTGCACAGAGTGGTAGAGGTGGTTCTTACTCAGATGGAAGTGGTTCTTCTTCTGGTCGAGGCGGGGATCATGGAGATTAACAATCTGAGGGAGGTCGTTCTCACTGTTATGCTTTTTCGGGTAGGCCAGAGGCTGAGGCTTCAGATGTTGTTATCACAAGTATTATTCCGGTTTGTCATTGACCATGTACCATATTATTTAATCAGGCTCTAATTATTCTTTTGTGTCCACATATTTTGCTCCTAGTCTGGATATATTGTGTGAGTCTCTTGATTTACCGATACGTGTTTCTACTCCTGTCGGGGATTCTGTAATTGTAGATCGGGTGTATCGATTATGTATTGTTACCTTGATGGGGTATGACACTCATGCATATTTAAGGGTGTTAGATATGACAGATTTTGATGTGATTCTTGGTATGGATTGATTATCTTCCTACAATGCAATTTTAAATTGCGATGCCAAGACAATCACTTTAGTTATGTCTGGAATTCCTATAGTAGAATAGAGAAGTTCTCTTAGTCACCCTCCTAAGGGTGTGGTATCATTTCTTAAGGCTCGTCAGTTGGTACAGACAAGATGTTTGTCTTACTTGGCACACATTTGAGATACTAGTATTGAGACTCCTGTGCTTGAGTCTATTCTAGTGGTGAGTGAATTTTCAGAGATATTCCTGACCGATTTGCCAGTTCTTCCACCAGATCGTGATATTGATTTTTGTATTGATGTGGATCCAGGCACTCAGCCTATTTCTAATCCTCTTTATCGTATGGCACCGACTGAATTAAATGAGTTGAATGAGCAGTTGCAGGATTTGTTGAGCAAGAGTTTTATTAGACTAAGTGTATCTCCTTGGGGTGCTCCAGTGTTATTTGTGAAGAAGAAATATGGATCTATGCGTATGTGTATTGACTATCGACAATTATACAAGGTAACCGTCAGAATTAAGTACCCGATACCTCGTATTGATAATTTATCTGATCAGTTGCAGGGTGCTTCAGTTTTCTCCAAGATTGACTTGAGATCTGGCTATCATCAGCTGAAGGTTAGGGCAGAGTATACCCCTAAGACACCTTTTCAAACACGTTATGGCCATTACGAGTTTCTGGTGATGTCTTTTGGACTGACTAATGCCCCTGCATCTTTAATGGACTTGATGAATGGAGTGTTCAGGACGTATTTGGATTCCTTTGTTATTGTATTCATTGATGATATATTGATATACTCACGCAGTAAGGAGGAACATGATCATCATTTGAGGATTGTACTTGTGATTCTAAAGGAGAAAAAGTTTTATGCAAAGTTTTCAAAGTGTGAGTTTTGGCTTAGTTCGGTAGCATTCTTGGGACATGTAGTGTCCAAGAAGGGTATCATGATGGATCCTAAGAAGATTGAGATGGTTATAGATTGGGTCAGACCTGTTTTAGTTACTGAGATTTGGAGTTTGTTAGTCATTGCAGGTTATTATAGACGGTTTGTTGAGGGTTTCTCATTCATTGCGTCTCCATTAACTAGATTGACACAGAAGATAATGACTTTTTAGTGGTCTGACGAGTGTGAGGTTAGATTCCAAAATCCCAAGACTTAATTGACTACTGCTCCGATTTTGACCCTACCCGTGGAGGGAGAGGGTTTTATTGTATATTGTGATGCTTCTCGGATTGGTCTTGGTTGTGTGTTGATGCAGAAGGGAAGGGTGATAGCTTATGCTTTGAGGCAGCTGAAGGTTCATGAGAAGAACTACCCTATTCATGATTTAGAGTTGGCGGTTGTTGTGTTTGCATTGAAGATTTGGAGGCATTATCTTTATGGTATGCATTATGAGGTGTTCATGGATCAACGTAGTCTCCAGTATTTTTTCAATCAGAGAGATCTCAATCTAAGGCAACGGAGATTGTTGGAATTGCTTAAAGACTATGACATGACTATTCTTTATCATCCAGGCAAGGCAAATGTGGTAGCAGATGCATTGAGTCGGAAGGCGGTAAGTATGGGTAGTCTAGCCATGTTACAGGTTGGCGAGCATCCTTTAGCAAGGGATCAATCCTTGGATAATAGCTTTGTGAGACTTGATATTTCAGAATCTGGTAAGGTGTTGGCTTATATGGAGGCTAGGTCATCCTTATTGGAGCAGATTCGGGCTAAACAATTTAATGATGGTGATTTATGTAAGATTAGGGACAAGGTGTTCAATGGAGAAGCCAAGGCTACAATTCTTGATAGTGAGGGATTTTTGAGGATCAAAGGTCATATATGTGTTCCTCGTATAGGTGATTTGACTAGATTGATCATGGAGGAGGCTCATAGTTCGAGGTACTCTATTCACCCAGGGGCTACTAAGATGTATCGTGACTTGAAGAAGCATTATTGGTGGTGTCGTATAAAGAGGGACCTAGTAGATTTTGTATCTCAGTGTTTAAATTGCCAGCAAGTGAAGTATGAACACTAAAATCCTGGAGGTGTGACTCAGAGGATGCCTATACCTAAGTGGAAGTGGGAGCGCATTACTATGGACTTTGTAGTAGGGTTGCCACATACCTTGGGTAAGTTTAATGCTATATGGGTCATTGAGGATCGATTTACCAAGTCTACACACTTTGTACCAGTTCAGACTACCTATAACTCATAGAAGTTAGCCAAGATCTATATTCCGGAGATAGTTCGTTTGCATGGGGTTCTTATATCTATTATTTCAGATCGTGGCACCCAATCTACATATCCTTTCTGGTGTTCTATGCAGAAAGAGTTGGGCACTCGGGTGGATCTAAGTACAACCTTTCACCCTCAGACTGATGGTCAATCTGAACGGACTATTCAGGTTCTTGAGGACATATTGCGGGCATGTGTGATTGACTTTGGTGGTCACTAGGATCAATTCTTGCCATTAGTGGAGTTTGCTTACAATAATAGTTACAATTCGAGCATTGAGATGGCACCATTTGAGGCTTTGTATGGTAGGAGATGTCGATCTCCAATTAGTTGGTTTGATGCATTTGAGGTTAGACCGTGAAGTACATATTTGCTGAGGGAGTCCTTGGACAAGGTTAAATTGATCCAAGATAGACTTCTCATGGCTCAGAGTAGTCAAAAGAGTTATGCAGATAGGATGGTTCGTGATTTGGAGTTTATGGTTTAAGAGATGGTTCTACTTAAGGCTTCACCCATGACGGGTGTGATGAGATTTGGAAAGAAGGGCAAGTTGAGCCCAAGGTATATTGGTTCTTTCGAAATTGTGGAGAGTATTGGTGAGGTGGCGTATAAATTGGCTTTGCCACCTAGTTTGTCAGGTATCCATCATGTATTTCATATTTCGATGCTAAAGAAGTATCATCAGGGTGATGCTCATGTGATTCAATGGGATTCAGTGTTACTTGATAAGAATTTGACTTTTGAGGAGGATCCGGTTACCATTTTGGATAGGCAGGTTCGAAAGTTGAGGTCAAAAGAGATTGCTGCAGTAAAGGTTCAATGGAAGCATCGTCCCGTGGAGGAAGCTACATGGGAGACAGATTTAGACATGAGTAAATATCCTTGGCTTTTTTAGCGTTCAGGTGAGTTCTTTTCTTTATCCCTTCGAGGATGAACGTTTGTTTAAGTGATTGGTGATGTAACGACCCGCTGGTCATTTTTAGAATCAGAACTATTTTGACTCTTTCGTGAAATTTTAATCGGAATTTTAAAGTATTTATTTAATTACTATTACCTGATTTGGGGGTAAATGGGTCAACTCTTTTATTATTTGATATTTTATACCCTGAAGTCACATAGAGGATAATATGTTAGTGATGCTGTCACGTCTAAAAAAAACTCTGGTTTAAAAAAGAAAAGAGGCATAGGCAGAAAATTTATCTTAGGTGACGAACGAGAAGAATAACCATAACTACCACTCGTAAAAGCAAAGAACTTCTCATCCTTTTCTATTCTGCATAAGGTATGCTGTCAAAGTAGTTGGGATTGTTGTTATTATTATATTATTATGTGAATAGTTAGTATCAAAGTGGAAACAACAATTGGTGTTTGTTCAAATTGTTTTTAAGGAACGAAAATTTTATATTATTGTTATTAATTGCATCAAACTAAGGTGTATTTATAGCCATTAATGATCCATCATTCTGATGGTGGACATTAATGGAAGGGTTACTTTTTTATTTTATTTTCTTTATATATATATATATATATATATATATATATATATATATATATATATATATATATATATATTATTTATTTAAAAAAAAGTTAATTATGGTTGCATAGAAAAATTTGGTTCTATAAATTTGTGGGTTAGGTAGAAAAATTTAAAGGGGCAATGTAAACATGATAATTTGTCATTAGAAAAAGAGTTAATCTTCTGCTGACAAAGATAACTGCAGAAAAAAAAATTAATAAACAAATTAATTGAATTTCGGATACTTCAGTTGTTAAGGTTGGGTGTGAATGATTTGCTTAAATTTTGAAAATTTCTAACAATTATTACTTTATAGTGGGAGTTTAATATATAGATATATAATTTTAAGTTTGGTGAGTTTTGAGTTAGGATAGACATATAGCATATGGGTGTCTACGGAATGATTTGCTTATAAATATTGCATAATTGTTAGATTAGAAATGTTTCGAAATTTTGCGGAAAGGAAAGGAAAAATCGTAAAGATTTTTGGCACGAGGTTCGACATTTGAGGTATGTTAAGACTTTTAGACTTGTTGAAGGATATTTTTCCTAGTAAATATTTTTAAAAATGGAATAGACAAGGGGTAAGGGCGAAAGATGGGGTTCTCGTATCAATGGTGTGATGGCCATTGGTACGAGTACCAGTGTTATAAAAGGGAAAGTTACTACAATAGAATGTGGATTGTAATGTGAAAATGCCAATGCATATAGGCATTAGCTGATATATTATTGACTTGAATTGTATTATTGACTTGAATTCATATTGCATTGCATCTCATCACATCCTTCATTCTTAATGATTATGTATTTTAATTGATGGTTGGAAATTACTTATGTTTGATTACCTCTATTTGATGAAACTTGACTAGTGAATGAATTATAGACTTGTATAAGTAAAGAATTAATTTTTCGTATATAAACTCCCGTCACTACTTTTTCGTTGTCGGTCAATGAAATATACTGGGTATACGTGATTTCATACTTATACTGCACTTGTTGCACTCTTTGTGGTGCAGATTCGATTCCGAGTACGAGCACATGTCATGGAGCATTTTGAGTCCGAGCTTGGAGTGTCTTTTAGTTATGGTTAGCTGCTTGGTTGTTCCGTGGCTCATACATCCTTCTGTCTTTTACTTATTCTGTTATTTTAGTATCCAAACAGGATATCTCTTATGTTAGATTTGTCATTTTAGTTTCAGACTTGCATCATATTTTAAAAGCTCTTATACTGATGACTTTAATTTTTGGGTAGTATTTTTTTCAGTTTCCGCATTCGTACTTATTTGGAACTCAGTGTTGGAGATTTTTTCTAAGTGTTTATTTTTTTTTACTCATTAGTTAGTTATGTTTGGTTGAATATGTTGGTTGACTTACCTATTGGTTGAGAACATAAATGTCATCGCGACTCATGATTTTTGAATCGTAACTATAAGTTGCAAAAATTTTATAATCACCAAAATACTATAATATTTATCATCACAAATTTCAAAAATCTTCATTTTTTTTAGAACTTCATATAATTCTAAATTATACCAGATCAATTGTAACTCAAGGAGAATCTATTTTGTGCCCAAGTTGTGGTATGTTCCTTTTGATGAAAAGCAAAAGTTAGTGGTAGAAATTAAAGGCACCTAATTCTTCTTGCTATAGCAAGTAAATTTGTAGTAATATTCCATAATTCCTTGTGCAACAAAAGTAGATGGGGATATATATATTTTTTTAGAGAAAGATGATTGATATATGTGTTGCTCAAATTGTTTAACATTATTGGATAATGGATAAAAGCTTTATGTTCTATTATATGCTTTGATTTCCTCCAAAAATGGTGCTCTCCACGTCCTTTTTTTCCTTCCTTAGAGAGGAGAGGAATGATATTCTCTACAATTTTATACCATCATATTCTCTAAATGAAATGACAAAAAGATTATTTTATTATATCATATTATATTATATCATAACATAAATGTGAAGTGTTGTATATTTCGCTACGCCAGTAGTCTCTTATAAATAGAAATAAAATAAGAATTTGAACTTTACAAATTTTGAATTTTAAAATCATAATTTTTTTTCGAGAATTCAGACTTCTAACTCAGTCCCTAATTACAATGATATATTATCAACTTCATATTTATTTTTTGATATTTTCGTCTCTAATTATCACACTCCTTTAAGGAATTATTTATATAGAAATTAAGAATGATTTTAATTGAATTACCTTTAATTAAATTACATATTTCTAAGTTGACATTGAGGTGCATATCTAGTGCAAAAGGAATATAGCATAATAAAATGTCTTTGAAGAACTAGTAAGAATACTGAATACCTATTTAATAGAATTTTATAATTTGTAATAGAGAAAGATTGTTTTGGAACAATTTAATAAGGATAAATTTGAAAAATTAAACTACTATCTTTTTTATTAGGTAAAACATCACTTATTTTATATCAATATAAAAAGTTAGAAATATCAAAACATACTATTTTTTTGTCTTAATTTATGTGGCGTTGCACCATTGGGTGTGTATGTATATATATATATATATATATATATATATATATATATATAAAGACTTTAAAATTTTATGCCCCAAACAATAAATTTATACTCCATTAATACTGAAATTATAAATTATCTTATTAAATATTAAGTAATAATTTTAAACTTTAAGTATTTTATGTAAGAATGTACGATATGCTATTCGGAACAAACTGAAAAAAAAAGTACTGAATTATAAATTAAGATGGTGAGAGTACTGAATTATATTAGCTTTTACTATAATGATGTATTTTGATAGATCGGCAGAATTTATTGATTAAGGGCTCGTTTGGATGGGCTTAATAAAAGCAGCTTTAAAAAAGTACTTTTAAAAGTGCTGAAACTTATTTTTAAAAGAAACAGTTATACGTTTGGATAAAAGTGCTGAAGTTGTTATGTCAAACGTGAAAAGGGGAAAATGGAAGAAAGAAATGTTAGGGTTATATGGGTAATTTGGAGATTGTATAAAAATATTAAGCACAAAAAGATAAAAATGTGGTCAACTTAAAACAGCTTATAAGCTAAAAAAAAAGCACCCCTACCCCAGCTTTTAACTTTTGGCTTAAAATAAGTTTTTTTTAACTTAAAATAAACTGTTTTGAGTATTGCCAAACAGCTAAATAAGTCAAAAACCAGCTTTTAAATCAGTTTGACCAGCTTTTAAGCTGAGCCAAACAGGCTCTAAGAATATGATAACTAAGCAAAACAATAACACCATTTATGCTACTTAATATACTTATTTTACTTAGGATTAAGTTATAATTACTACACCAATCGTGTAATATTCTTTTATATTACTAATATAATTTAATCCATTAAAAGTAAATTGTTTATTTCTTATTCAGAATTATCCAACTCATAATATAATATATAAAATAAAGTTACTTGCAATTACTTTTTAGGCTTAAAGTCATATAGAGCTTGTTTGCATATTTCATTTGAACACCTCAAGTAGGGTTGATACCTATTGAATACTTTTATCAATTTAAAGTTGCACTATTTGAACATTTTTTTGACAATCAACTAAAAGTATTATATGTGTGTAATACACTCGTGCTGACGTGGCAAATTAATGAATCAACGACATACATCTGGAATTTTGAGGGAAAAAAAAGAAAAACTATTTTAGAACCATGAAGAACCTTCGATTCGTTCATTGTGTTTCGTCTTTAACTATGCTGAGCTAAAGGATTATACTCGTTCACAACTTCAACCATATATGAATGAAGCATAGAGAGATTTATAATCAACTAATCATTGAGCAAGTTGCTTCATAAAGGTCAACGGCTGAAAATATGTTCAACTCCTTTATTCAAGTTATCATCGTTCACTCACCGTTACCATTACTGTCATTGTTGTTCCTCTTAATTCAACTATTAATTTTTTCAGGTCTATTTTTTTTAAAAAAAACGATAATTTGGGTTAAGATGTTTATTTTTTATGAAAAACAATGGGAGGAATGGAACAATAGAATAGTGATAGAGTGGGTATCTTTTTTATTTTCCTGTGAATAGATGATAATAACTGCCAAATTTTTAAAAATGGAAGAGGAAATGTCGACAATGGTAAGGGAGAGGAAGAGATAGCTGAAGAAAAGAAAAGAAGAGAACAGAAGGGTAAATGATGGTGGGGGGAGGCCGCGGCAATGGTGATGGTGTGGGAAGAGTTATGGCTATTGAAAAGAAGAAGAAGAAAGAGAAACAAAAAGAAGCTAAAATATTCCTCCACGTGCACACTGTATGTGTATTACACATTCTTTGCCATGTCAGCGAAAAGTGCCTAATAAATACTAATTTTGAACAGTAAAAGTGTTTAATAGATACAAACCTTAATTTAGGTGTTTAAATAAAATATGCAAACAACTTTAAGGAAATCTGTATGACTTAATCCTACTTTTTAAGTAACCTAACGATACAAATATTTTGTACATTATTATTACATTAAAATTAAACTATTCTACTTATTCTGGGCAGCCCGTCTAATTAATTAATTATTTAATTATTGGTAATAATAATTAGAGCCGTAATATGGGTCAAGTCCGTTTGACCGGCTTGGCCTAATCGAGAATTTAGTAGGGCTTGACTAAGATTTTTGAAACTCATTTAAGAAAAAAATATTAGCATGTCCTGAATAAATCTGTTGATTTGTGGGACTTGAAAAGTATAGGTAGGGTCGGCACGTGGGCCAATAAAAATTAATTAAACTATATAATATAACATTAAAATTGAAAATTAAAGAGAATCCAAAGTCAAAACAATTAAGTTAATATTTCTATTTAGATATTTCTATTTTTATTGAAAAAACTTAATAAATATTATAAATAAAATTTTATTTGTGGATTTGATTAACAAGTAGTATCATTAACATCATGTAATATTATTTTGTCGATATTTATGATAATATTTTTAAATTATAATTTATAATTGAATTTAATTTAATAGCTATAAAAAAATATAATTTCTATAAAAGTGATCGATCTGATAAATCTGTAGCCCATGTATTTATAAATTGAACCAACATTTTTTGGCCCATACAAAAAATAGGCTAATCCTGCTTTGACCCGTAATATATTAAAATTTATATGATTCAGCCGGAATATAATGAGTTAGTCCATATTTAGTGCTCTAATCATAATATTATTGAATTTAGAAGGCTAAATATCTCTCTTCTGACCACCAACAGACACGATTGGACTATGTTAGACTAGTCAACTATTTGTACAAATTAATGCAAGTTTTTCAAATTTATTGCTAAATGATCTATATCACCAACAACTTGGTACTAAAATCTATAACAAAAGTTAGAAGAAATAGTAATCTAGTCAGAAATTTCACTAAAAATATTTATATTTTGAATAATTAATTCTCCTTTTTATGAATAAGTGTAAAATTTGTTATATCAAATTAGACTATATTAGTAGTTGATTTTTTTGTATGAATCCAAATTTTAGCTTTGCTGAATTTATATTCGATTTATTTGAAGTTAACAGACATAAAAAAGAAGAAGAAAGAAAGTGAGAAGAGAATTCACCTAAAATGAAATTACTTTAATTTTAGGCTTCACATTTTTAGTGTGTCATTTGAGTAGCAACAAGATGTGAAAAGCAGAGAGCAAAATCAGAACTTGGCTTTTCTTAAGCCTTTTCGCTTTCAATTTTGATAATATATAGAGGGAACTTTTAAGATTTATTTACTATCGAAGTAGGAAAATTTATGGCTATTGAAGATCGATCTCGGTAATCGACTAATTAATCTATAGAACTCGCAAATAAATTAAGTTACGAATATTATATTTAATTTTTTCTCAAAGATTTCAAATCACAATAAACGAATTCTTATCAATATTTTCTCTCTCTTAATTTAGTGTAAAACTCTCACACTTCCAACAAAAGTCGGAAAATGAAGTAAATAAAAATAGTGTATTGACATATTTACTATGATTTGACGTTTTCTACTTTTTAATATATATATATATATATATAACAAATTATGGCATATTCTCAATTAATAAAAATGGATATTCCTTATAAATTAGAGCCAAAATAAAAGTTCATAATAAAGAAAACTTCCAATGAGAATTTCACGTTATATATATTATTAATTGAGAATATGCCATAATTTGTTTTGTGTTGGCTACTTTATTATACCAATATTATTGTCACAAAGTCCAAAATAATCTTTAATTTTACTTGAGGATTCAACAAAGGTGTTCCTTTTCATTTAATTCCAACTTTCACAATGAA